AAACACCAACTTCCACAAAGAAGCCTGTCCCTCCCCATCTCTCTCTGCCACAGCTTGCCCTCCTTAACCACTCCCCTAAGCACAGTGAAACTGAAATTAAAACCACATTCTTAGAGGACAATAACAGAAGGTTATGCCATACATTTAAATGTCATATTTGGGTGGATCCAGTTTCCTCAGTGCACCTCGCCTGCTAGTTTTCGAATGACAGCAAGCTCCTGGGGTCATGTCGCAGTCACAGGGGACATCCCGTATGCCAAAGCTTGCCTGTTTCTCCCAACTACAGCAGTTTAGCCTAATAAAAGAGGTTGCTCTTCCCTGCAACACTTTCTTGACTTTTACATCCACTGGCCAAGAAAGGCTTATCCCAACAGAGACGGGATCCACTTTTATCATCCTCCAGAGGCACCAGTTTGGGAACCAGAGTCACGCGTCTGTAGAGACTGCCAGCACCACACTGCTCACGCCTCACTTGCTAAGGCTTTTGAATTCCTCGGCTTCGCCTTCTGTATACCCCAGCCGTCCAGCCCCCCCTTTAACAAGTCCAGCAGCTTGCATTTGGTTAAAATAACTGTTTATTCCTCAAAGACTTGATTCCTGTCCAGAATAAACTGTCAATTCCTCCACTGATGGCTGAACATGCTGTCTGGAACAAGGCAGCCCAAAGGAATAAGAAGGCCTCTGTGTAAATGGGAACAGACCTAATTTCAGCTTCCAGGGATTGTATCATTGACCAAAGCACAAATATTTTGGTTCAGAATTCAATCAGGTGTGGATTTGCACATATGCATCTGTTATATACCTGAGGACAAGCCTTCTCTATATTAACCAAGTTAGGAGCAATGTATCCTATTCACTTGGCCAGAAAACCACTCCTGATCATAGCATCACTTCTGGTATTTAGGGGCTGTCAAGGTAAATAATTGAACTTTGCACGCAGAGCAGCCCCAGTCTCCCACCCACACCGAGCAATTCCCTCCCCTCCTGCTTTTTTTTTTGTCCAAACGGGCTTGTCCCACACCTGAAGTCTGGAGGGGCTGGGGCAACATTTCAGAGCTGTCAACCATGTGAGCTGAAGTGTTAGAACAATGTAAGATACATTTTTACAAAGTTTGCCCTGAGAGGAGATATACTTTTTATTCAAGAAAAAAAACCAGTGCTGTATTTCATGAATTCATGCTCAGTTCATTACACAGGAATAATCACCTCATTCCTTATGATTTGCAAAAACTTAACACTGTAATTAAGGTAAAGCGACTTTGTCATATGCAGTTAAACATAAGACAGTGTTTTTGCATATTGTTACCAAATAATACCGCATTCCAAATCCCTTCACCCTAGCAAAACCCTTCCTAGCTTGTGTTACAGCCTCTCTGAGCTGGTTTGTGTTATGATACTATATCCAACCCCTCTAAGCTGGCTGCCTCTTTTCTGGCAAAATCTTTCTGCATTTTGCCTCATTGCACCTCGCTGAAGGAGGAGAGCAAGCGGCCCCTGGGCTCTGCAACGTACCTGATGGGCAGCGAGGGGTCTCCAGCATCCCACCAGTCCTTGGGGGGGCTGATGTACATGCACCACAGCTCCCAGCTGTACCCGTGGGCAGAGTTCTCGTAACGCTGCACCTCGAAGTTGTCCTGCTTGATGTTGTCTATGGAGGGAAGAATGACCCTTCTCCGATTTTCCTGAATCCGTGAAAGTACCGGCTCAGCCCTGAGTGGTTTAAAAAAAAAAAAAAAAAAAAAAGGCACAGGAAGAGACCGTTAATTTCTCCCATAATTTGCAGATGGACATTGTAGTTTTCGTACAGCTTGTGCACTTAAATGAGGGTAAGAGGACAGGCGTTCTTGTCACCATTCAGTAAACAGAAGAGAATAATGTGGACTCCTCTCTGCTCCCATTCACAAGTGTCACATGTCCCATTCATGTCTTTAAAGAGCCACAGCAAAACCCAGCTTGAGGAGCCCAGAGACTGTCACAAGGCTCCTCACGAAGTCAGTGAGCGATCCCAGATTGCAACATGTCGGTCTCTGTCTCACCCTTCCACTCGCCCGTGCTTTTATCAGCACAGAAATAGCACAGAGAAGCAAAGCATTCGCGCTGCCAAGTTTAAAAGGTTATTTCTGAAAGGCTTGCCAGGCTTTGTCAGCCACAAGGGAGATGCTGCAAGAGGCTTCAGTGCTTCGACTTGATGGGATTTCCCACCCGGACACGTCCCTTGCATAGAGCTGCCATCAGAGCACAGGGGCCAGCCGCCAGGCATGGAGCTCAGATAGCTGCAGCCCTGGAGGTTTGGGGAGTTTTAGCGCTCTCCTACACAACTGACTACACAAATTCATGGACCGGCTGAAGCTATCAGCACAAGGAAAGGACTATTTCCACGAACTAAGGTGTTAAGCTGTGGAAATGAATTAAAGCCTCTGAAACGGGACCTTATCTTTTCTTGTAGAGCTAGTACACCATGTTTTCTCTGGTATGCTGGTTTAAAAAAAGCATTATTAAGTAATAATTCCATATTCTGAACTTTTTATTTTTAAAAATGCCACATTTTTAAACTGAGCTTCCTGAAATCTTTACTCAGGTAGCAATGAAATGAGACGATACATTAATCAGGCGTCAGTTTTGCAGCATGGGCCAACTGTACAGCCAGGAGCAGCTCAGAGAAGGTGCTCCATGACCACCCGGAGACTCTTTCCATACAAGAACTATGGACCATCAAAAGAAACAGGCTCAAGACGGACAACAAGGAGTTAGCTCTTTCCACAGTGGTTAGCTGCAGTGTGGAGCACCTTTACCCAAGGATGCTGTGAATGCTTGAAGTTTACATGGACTCAATAGACAACAGGAAAAGACTCATGAGAAATGCAGTGAGCGTTGCTAAATACATAGAAGCTGTGTCTGCCTCACATCTGCAAATTGTTGGACTTTGGTAGCATACTCTGAAGGAATATCGTATGCGCTAGCCCTGCCCATATATGCTTTCCTAGGCTTCTGGCTATGGTTAGTGGCATAACAGGAGGCTAGACAGGCCCTTGGTTTGCCACAACACAGCTGCTCTCATGTCCTTCTGTGCCACCTGGATAGTTACCCCGTGTAAAGCTCCGATGTGCATCTGCAGGGTAACTGCACACAGATTCCCATGTTGCCATGTGCGGCTGGACATCCTGCATGAAAACACAATCCACAGGCTGGGAAGCCTGGCTCGAAAACTTCCCTTCTGTAAAGCAAGGCCATGAAGGATGTGTTTTGTTTAACCATGCTTTACCTAGTCCAAACTTCCCCCAAATCAAAAAAAACCACGTCCCTGGGCAGAACACGGTCAATTCTTGAAAGCAGGACTATCTAAAGGGTCTTTTTTTCCCTGGGACACAGGTCGAGGACTCTATAGCTACAAAATTCATCTCTGGGACATTCAAATGTGTTCAGAGCAGGGGGTGTGCTCAGCCTCACCTCTGCAGCCCAAGAGCCGCTGATCAACCTGGGCTCAGTCTGCCAACATAAGGAGTAACTTGCACTCTTGGTGCCTCCAGCAACAGCAGCAGGTACGTAACACCAGAGTAAGTCAAGCCCACGCTGCAGAAAAGCTCACTCTCTGTTCCTAGAAAAGCTGTTTCAAGAGCTCAGTAAATGAGAGCTTCTTCCATATATCAGTAGAATCAGGTGTGAGGACTTAATGACCTGAAGACAGGAATGTTTAGCTGGGAATACAGATATCAACATAAGAAATGGCTCTTAAAGACACCCTTCAGCTGCGTTTTCATTACAAAGAATTCAGTAACTGTGCAGAACTCTGTTTGCAGCTGCTGAAGCATTTTTCTCGGGGATGTTACTCTCTGTTCAAATTAGATGCAAGTTAGCGTCTTCTACCTCCACTTTTCTAAACATGTTCCATTTACTTTTTACAGTTGGTTAGAGAGAAAAAAAAAAAAAAATCACTCTCAGGCTCCTCTCATGATCTAGACTCAAACTTAAGGCACTTGAACTCAGATGTTTCGAATCTCTGAAAAAAAATCCTTATGAAACACCTTTCGCTGCTTCTGCACCTCTGCACTTATTCCTAGCTGCAGAAGAAACAAATCAATCTAAAACATCTAAGCCTTCCCCAGTGGGATCCAGCTGCAAAGGGCAAGGAAGCAAGAAACACCATCTCTTTCAATCCCTTGCTGCCTGGGCTTTTTTAAACTTACAGAGATTACTCAGGGCTAAGGGAATGGGAAATCAACCTGAAAAATATAAACAAGGGACAGGGGGGTGTGCATGCATAAAAGGAGGGAATAGAAAATTATTACAGAAAACAAGGGCAAGGAAAGGTTTTCTTGTATCTTCCCATCATCTCTCATCGGTGGCCGTTCAGTACAGGAGGAAGACAGGATTAATAAAAGCCAGTGGACTTGTTTGTAAACACATCCATACAAAACAACGGACTGTCTCCTGTTTCATGCATCACTCACACTCTGAGAACTTGAGGTTGAGCACCTACCAGCCGGCAGTGAACTCCACATGAGCATCAAAAAATCCAGTGATCTGGCCAGTGGCAGCTTTCCAGCCTTCAATACGAGCTCGGATAAGGCCTTCCCTCTTCTGGTTGCGCACCACCTTCACGAGGCCTGGGTATCGTTTATTGACGTATTCTTCTAGCGGCGCCTTCAGTTCCTCTAGAGAAGAAGTGCCAGAGAACCCATTGAAAAGGCGTTAACAGTTTTCACCTAAAATAAACCGACTTTATTGATGGATATGAGCATAACTTACTGGAGCCACGTATCTCTGAACACCACTGGGAGGGATATGATCGTTTAGGGTCAATCAATGCTGATTTGCAGAAGACCACCCGATGGTGGACTGACCACAGCCCTTACAAAAGAAATTCAAGGTTGCCAAAAACATTGCTGTTGGGTGACCAAGGAGCCCAAATGCAATCTTTAAAGGCAAAGGGCAGCAGCAAGAGGCCAGCTAGATTGCCTTGCAATACCTGGGTATCACTCCACTGAAAGACAAGAATAGAAACAAGTCACCTGTGGATACCAAACACTAGTGCTCTGCATTTCTGACGGAGATTTTAACTTAATGGATTGCTAGAAATGTTGCAAAACCCATCTGAAATAACTTAAACTACATCAAAACTGTGTATGAGCTTCACTATCCTTTTTACTCAGCCTCACTAGTACAGTCTTGGCATTTGCTGTATGTTTTCCAAGCTTTGCCACTAGCAAAGTTGAAATTCCCCCTGCTTTTATGATAGGATGAAAGAGATTTTGGCTTTGTTCGGAAGATACTCATACCGCGTATCTTCTGTTCACTGGAAACTGCAGATCATTTAATTATGTTGTCTAAGCCCGTATATGTACTAGGGCTGAGAACATAATGGATCTGTCAGCCTGCAGTCATTACCAGCATCAAACTTTTTGATAGTTACAAGTATTGAGTATAAAAGACACACAGGACTTCGGATGTGGAAGCATATGAAAGGTTACGATAAGGGGTAAGTACTAGTATGTTTTTTCAACAATTTGGAAAAGTGCTAGTGCTCTGCCAGAACCCTTGATCCTTTTATTTCCTGGTGCATCAGTTAAATGCATGAAGATCTACTGATGAGAAGTACTCTTGTAAAAGCTAAGCAATACCACTGTATACCAACACGGACTCTTAACACCATGAAAGCAGTTTCTGAGAACGTCTTTTATCCCTATGAGGCTCCAGGACATCAGAAAATTAAGATATAGTCCGTCACCCCAAATTATAATCTACTACCCTTCACACATACTCTCTCTCCAGAAAAAAAAAAAAAAAAGAAAAAAGTCACCATTAACATAACCCACATGGTAAAATACTTGAGACTATGAGCACATGTGAGGAGTTCCTACATGAAGGAAACATGGCAATGGAGAGCAAAAGAGTAAACAGCAAGTCCCATCTGCTGGGCTGAGCCTGAGAAATCATCAAAGGAAAATGGATTATCTGTTCCCTTCCCTTCCATGCCTTCTTCCAAGCACATAAAACGTGCTTTCTTCAGACTGCCTTTCTGGGATGGTTCCCCTCACATGCCAATTTCCCAAAAGTCTCATTTCTCTTTTATGCTGAAGCAGGAATAAAAAGAATAAAGCAAATGAGCCCCTTCCTCAATTCAAAGCATCTGCATCACATACATACATAACGCAGCAACTTCCATTTCATGCTGAGCCACTCAGAGAAAAACCAATATTTTATGGAGACAACAACTCTCCCAAATGGTTTTAAGGAGACAGACACAGATTTTTTGACAGATGAAACCCCACAAGCATAGCACCAGCATCTCACGTGTTTTTGTCAGAAGGTAAGTCATTAATGCTGCAGATCACTGCATTACAGGCTATACTGAACAATTAAAACAACTTTCAAATCGGAGTTTTAATCTCAGTTGAAGGAAAACAGGAAAAATCTTCATGGGAATTGTTTGAGCAGCTCAAAGGAGAGTACAGCTCTAGTGAAACAAAGGAAGAATTGTAACGTCATGTCTCAAAGGCAGTGAAGGGTGAAGCCTGAGAGATTCCTATGCCTACCATGCTGTGTAACAGGCAGCTCGTCAGAAACTCCCTGGGGAGCCACAGCTGCGTCCTCCTCCTTTCTGAAAGGATGCTGGATGCCAACAGGTGAAGAACTGATCTGCTGAGAGCACTATGGCCAGTACAGCACACCCGTGCACCTGCAAAACGGTACAAGGTGACCACGGAGAGCCGGTGGAGAGGATGCTTATGATTAGCATCATTCTAACCCACCATCCCATTCATTAGCAGAGGCCAGAGTGCCCCTCTCCTGCCCGCAACGCATGCGACAAGCACCCCTAATGGGCTGCTACCCAAGTGGAGAAACACTCGAGAGAGACGAAAGCATTAACCAGACATGGGAAATGTGGTTCCAGACCCTCTCTCTGCTAAGGGCGTCCTGTATAGCCTTGCATAGATTTTCAGGCTTTGCTCCCTGCCTTCCCTCCCAGTTTGGCTCAGTCCACAGCACATGCCTTTTGGGTGAGAATTCACTTTTCTTACGTGCCTGTGCAAGCCCTAATGGAGAGGATGGCTGCACATCTGTGCTGGCCTTTGCCAGTCTCTCACCCATCTGAGCTGGTTTGCAGCTCTGCGGGAGGAGGGCATGGTGCACAGCGGCTGCTGAGCACCATTTTGGTATTATGAGATACATACTTGGCACTCAACTGGGCATCCAGACAGCAGGCACAGGGCTTTGTATTTCATTTCTCAGCGCATCCAGAAGTGCAGGTGTGGAAAATCCAGTAATCACAAAAGTGAAATGCCAGTCTCCGGGAATGATCTGCAAAACTCCCGTTCAAGCATCAAGCGAGCCTTGGCCCAGGTCTCCCCTCGCCAATGAGCAGGACTAACATGGCTGCGTCGAAAGCATCAGTGGAAACCCCAGCGCCAGCATAGCCGCACTGTCCCACCGATGGTCCCACCGATGCTGATCCTGCGGGACGAGACGTGCTCAGCTTCCTCCACGTGAACTCCGGCGGGCTGGAAATCATAACTCACTCACAAATCTAATCTTAATCCAAGTCATTTGACATCATTCCTAATTTTACCCTGCACTTTCCTTCACTCGGCAGTCACTTCATTGAGTGCCATTAGCGTAACAGGAAAACAACTCGTGGCAGCTCTGACGTGCATTGTCAGAACGCGTGGCTCCAGGCTGAGGATGCAGAGAGCTGTTGCATTAAGGTCAATAGCACCAAAGCTTTTCATCTGTCATATTAACTTAAGAAATGTTTCATCCCCTATTGTTGTATCTTTGCAGCACATCCCAGAGCTGTAAAAGGAAGGTTGGGAGGTCTGAAGTAGTATGCCAGGAATTAAATGACTCGCACTAACGGCCAATAGCAGATACCCTCGCTTAAAGGAGTCAGCTTTCACACAAACTGGCAACCTGGCCTTTGGATCTGCTATTTTCAGGACTTCATGCAAACTACAGCAGGGGAAAAAGCATCTCGCAGTTCAGATAACTTGCTGCCATTCTCCTCACCTCTGTCTTGCACAGGGTCATAGCAGTGCTTTCGCCCCTTCGGCTCATCGCTGAAAATGAGAATATCCATTAGATACTGAGCCGATAACACTTTTAGCATGATAATCAGTGCAGTGTTCATAAACTGAAACTCTGGATGCAAAGTAATAACAAAGAAAGTCAGGAGCCAAGATGGAAGCAAAGCAGGGGCTCCCCAGCTCACCTTCATCCTTCCTAATCAAAGGACCACTTATTTAGGCCATGCACTCATGAGGTATCTGGGTGGGTGGATCTACGTGGGCTACACAACCAGTAATTTATCTAAACTAAGCACTGCAATGGAATCTAGAGACTCCTTTCTCTTCTGTACCCTATGGCAGTCTTCCCGCCCCCCCCATGTCACACATTCTTTGAGGAAACCTACGGGACCATCCTTCAGAGCACACCCACATCATTCCTAAGTCATGTTTATTAAGGATGCAATCAATATTTGCACATGGAGGTATTTGTAAACATTTGGTCTTTGCCACTGCACAAGCTACTTCCAGGGAAGATTTGCAGAGAGAAATCCTACTGAAAATGCCAGCAGGTTCAATTTCAATCCTGCCTTTTCTTCTCCATCTGTCCGTATCGATCTTCACTGAAGGGCAAGTCCAAGGAACTAGAATCCAATAGACCTGTTGCTCTATTAAAAAAACCATCTGCCAGCTGCAATGACTTATGTTATCTATTGCAAAGTATTTTGTCACCCACATGAGCTTTCTGGGAAATAGGCCTACCAGAGAAATTGAACCACCTGATGCCACTAAAAGTAACCATGTGAAAGACATTAGCCAAGAAGCAACTGCAGGAACATCCACCACTCAGTTCTCCACACCATGGAACCTCCCCAGATCTACCCAAATCCTGTTGAAGTCCCCAGAACTAAACGTGGGAACTGCCTGGTGTCACACAAAGAAAGAGGCAAAGATCAACAGCCCCAGAGGGGCTCAAGGAACTACCAACAGCAGAAAATCTCTTATACAGCAATGCCCAGGTGGTCCTAGGGAGTGGACTGCACCTCCTCTACACCCCTAAAGAAAACATAGTTGTGTTTGCCAGGCTGAGGTGGGTGGGAAAAGTCTACAGAGCCCAAGGCTGTTATCAGAAACATTGAAAGCTGGAGGACACAAGAGTCAGGGCTGGGAGTGCTCCAGTGCCACGAGGGACACCAGCAGGCCCTTGTCCCACACTCTCACCTCCCTGAAATACCAAAGCCATCGTGGGTTGGATTTCTGCAGCACAAACTCACAAACAAAACTCCTTCAACAGGCAACAAACAAATATGAGAATTTTTGCAGCGAGACTCAGAGCCAGGTGAGCCTCCAAAGCTTTTGATGTTTGCTTGCAAATATTGAAGAGGAAACTGTGAATCAATTCTCATACAGGGTTACGGGCAAAGCTGGTCCCACTAGGTGCATTCGGCTGCAAGTCGCTGGTTCGTTTGGTTCACCAAAAGCCAAACAGAGACAAACCAAGGTTTGCTGCTCTCCTCCATGCCCTGTCAGGGCCTGAAAGCCTCAGACTTGAACACCAGTGGGACAGCACCAGGTCAGCTGCAATTAAGCAACCCATCTTTAGTTTGAGCAACTGGAATAATTAGGCACTTGGGTTGGACCAGTGCCTAGGAAAAGCTGAGATATGACTCAGCTTCTTGCAATTCTGTTACAACCTTCCTCTAAACACAAACACACACGAAGCGCAAGCGAGCCAGCTCCCAGGAGAGTGTACACGAACCGCTGTTGTTGCTGTTGAAATGAGCTGCAAGACAAGAAAGCGATATATCAAGTCACAGCTAATATGTTACACTGAGGTAAATTACAACCAGTAGCATGTCTCCCCAAGTGTAGCCAGCTCCTTTAAGCAGTCTTTTATCCAAAGGTTTTCTTCTAGACCAAGCAGTTTGCTTTTCAAAGAGATATTATCCCAGATTAAAAACACTAAAAGACAGACAGCAAAAAAAAGCAGGTGATGATTAAGCAACAGACTCAGACCAAGTGTGCAGCTGCGAGATAACGCAACATCTCAGGGGCACGTTGCTGTATCCCTCCAACAACCTAGGAAACATGTTATCACTCAGAAACACAACCTGTGCACTGGCTTTGTAATTACACCCCTGCAACAAACACAAACAAAAGCAGCCTCCAAAAAAGTCTTTAAAAAGTATAATGTGCAGCTCAAGGGAGAAAGGAGTTCAAACTACAACTCCCCAAGCTTTTTCCTTCAAGGAGGGATTGGGTTTTTTCCCCTCCATTACAATACATTGGTATCTTTTATCTATTTACAGCTCAGTTATAAAGAATCAGAATGACCGTGTTTATTAACTTTTAATCTCTCATGGCATACTTTTATGTTGTGCAGTGCTGTTGCACATACCACGTTACAAAAAAGTGTCTAATGAGTCTTCACAAGCAGTTTGTTCCAGTCTGAAAACTACATATCACCTAAAGGTTTTGATCGTGTCTGTGTAACTAGTCAGTGGTCTACCTGAAGGGCAAATAATAGCCGGGGTGCCCAGGGTATGCAGTTCTTACCTCCATCGCTGAGACTGATTTTAAAATTTGAAGTTGACTTGGAATTCCCAGGGGCCTTTTAATATTTGGTTTGGGAACATGTTTTGTTCTTCAATTACCCATACAAGCTGTATTTCCTCTTCACGTCTGTGTAAAGTGTTCTCTGACAAAACCTACACAGAACCCCCCCAGCATGCAGCCCAGAGCCACGGACTTTCTTGAGCCTTTAGAAAATTTCCCAGAAGTTGCTTCTTGTAACCCACCAGGGTACAACACAGCTACTGGTTTTGAGATCCTGCTCTCTGAAGGTCAACCTTCTTTCAGGTGTATAAAACTGAGCCCAAAGGCTTTGCCCGGGCTACAGTGACAAGCTGTACACCCTCAAACACACACAGCTGCTCACAAAAGGCTGCAGTAATTCCTCCTCTTGTTCAATCACAGCCATTGAAGTCGCACCCACGCAACTCCATCCTCTGCTCAGCGTTCGTGCTTGATTCTCCACAATTCGTCTTTAAATCTTAGAGCTCATGAGAAACTATTTTCCTGTAATTATTTTCCTGTAGAAGCCAAATCCATATATTACAATGACTTTGTTTGTAATATCCAAAGCATCAACTATATGATGTTGCTGCTCACAATTATTTCCTACCATTAGTGGGAACTATACGACAACGTTATTGCCATTAATAATTCTTTGCTGTCATTGAAGCTCTTTGACGATGCAGAGGGTGAATGCATGGGTCCCAGAGATATGTTCTGGTTTGTATCATTTCTTTTACATGAGAAAACTAGATTATTACACGGTTGGGAGGAGCTCTCCATAAACATCTGCCAAGTTACCTCATTATCTTCCTTCAAATCCCTCCTTAAAAATCTCATTTGTCATGATGCCTACAAAGACTCAACAGCATAGTACTGACATTACTAACCCTACTAGCAGCTAACAGCATCGCGTTGCTCCCTACACCCACTCTCCTTGCGTACTTCCATCTCAAGGTTTTTGAGGACAGAGCCACCTTGGCGTTCAGGTGTTTACAACCCGCAGCACAGCCCTGGCCCTTCACTAGGGACCCTGGATGCTCATGATCCCGATGCAATCAATGCATCCTCTTGGTGGGATGCATAGTGCACGTTGCCTAGGTGTGCAAGGAGACTGGGATCTTCCCACCTCCTGCACATGATATATGAATTTGTCCTTCAGTTTAAAGTCATCTACCTGCATCTGCCTCCCTGGATAGGTGGATGCCAAAAGGCACTCCAACACAAGCCAGGCAGCTTGGTCAGCCTGCATGGCACAAAGAGGAAATCCCAGAGCTGGGAAGTGCTTGAGCATACTACAAGCTTTGGCCACCCATCTCGCTGCCCTGTCAACACCCTGCCACCATCCAGCCCCATCACCAGACCACACCAGCACTGGCAGCAAACCGCCAGAGAAGACGGTGCCTTGCAATCTCAGCAGCGAATAAAGGGATTACATTCTGCATCCTCGCTGCCAGCTGCAGTCTCAGCTTATTGGGGGGGGGGGAATGTTTTTTGAAAAGATTCGTTTCATTGTCCTGTGCCTTTCAATAATGTCTCCAGAGTACTTGACTCAATATTAGCCTCAGTGCTGCATACTGAATGACGGGTAGAGGCTGTTTAGAAACATATTTCTTTGTGCATCGGTAGAGAAGCTCAATAATTATTACCAATGCGTTCTCTTTTAAAGAGTGTTCTTCACCCCATTGATACGGTAAAATTTGGAGAGGAACATCTCATTTTAGTATTTCGAACCCTCTAAGTACTGGGCAATGCTAAATACTGCAGCGACAGATCACCTGCACTTTCTCTTCATGAGCCAAATAGTTCCAGCTCTGAAATCCCATGGCTTCACTGGTGCACATCATCCTAGCTTTTGTACTAGAGCCACTGTGATTTCCATCAGCTGAGGAGCTGCCCTCCTGTTTCTTTTACTGGTAATTATAATTCATCAGCTTTCTATGGTGCTCATTACTGTGGTATTTGAGTGCCTATTTTTTACAGGCTTGAGTAGCTTGCTGTATACCATCTCATCTCATCGCAGACAGACGAGCAACCTCTCAGACTCCCTCTGGAAATAAGCTCTCCCTGTCCTGCACCCTCCCTGATCTTCCCTTCTGATCACAACATCCACAGCACATGTACTATTATTTTAAAAAATAACCGTACAAGCAGGCAGTACAAACAAAGAAGGCAGTAATCAACGTAACTTAACCATTTGCTGTTCTTCATGGAGATTTTAACTACCCTAATGACATTCTCCAACTGTATACTGGGAAAACAAATCTTGGAAGAATCAGAGGCTGAAAATGCTTCTACATGAAACTACCTCCTGCAGCTTTGTGTTCTCAAAAGCCAGAAGGGAAGGTATTGCAACAGTGACTGAGAGCAGGTTGAACCAAACGACATGTGTGTAACATGGGAAACCTAACATCCCCCTCCATGTTTTGTTGTGGCCTGACTTGAGCAGGTTGGGTGTGTTTGTTTCCTCTTCTTTCTCTCTACTTATCCTTCTCATATCAAAAACTTATTATGAGAGGAAGGAGGGCCTCTACAGGGTCCCAGACATTTATAAAGCCTGGGACTTTATTCCACAGGTGGGGAAACTGAGGCACACACAGAGAAAACGTCTCGTTTAACACCACTGCAAGGGGCCAAAGCAGAAATAGCTCACAAGGCTCCAGGCTTTTGTCCCTCAACTCTGTGAGAGGTGCATCTCTGCAACAACCAGAAGTGTTATTATTAGAAACAAGGATACACCTGAAACCAGAACTTCTGGGTGCTACCGTGAAGAGAAAGGTAAGATTGCTCTCTGGTTTCCTTTAGCCTTCTAGCTTTCAGCTACACTTTCAAATCCAGAATTATCTCAGATTTTAACTTTGGTTTGATCCTGTTCCTTTTTTGCTACAGAATTGGTGTGCCAGCCAGCACACCCACCACCTCACACCATGTGCCTCCCAGCAGTGTCACCACTCCCAAAGAAGCACGACTCCTCCGTGAGATTTTAAGAAATTAAACACCCTCCTAATGTTTTGGAGATCCTAGATCCCAGTGCTGCTAACCTTCATCACTGTTGTCATCCACAAGGATAATCTCCTTCAGGAGGTGAGCTGGCGTATGATTAACAGCACTGTGCACTGATCGCAGGATAACCGATAGCGCTTCGTTCACGAAGATGAAGATGATGGAGATCTGGGGTAGGTCCTTGCCATATTTCAGCTCTTTGCACCTGTAGCACGAAGGGCAGAGAGAGACAGGGTTAGCAGAGCACACAGTGCAGCGCTTCTAGTCAGGCACACATTTAATACACAGTGCAAGACAATGGTTGACATCCCACAGCTTTGCACAGCCCTGTATTATAGCTGCCTGTGCATAATTTCAGCAATGCTGTCTAGGAAGAGATAGCAGCGACAGAGAGTATCCTCCAGGCTCAGAGGGCACCAAGGGCAGGGTGCAAATCCAGAGTTCGCTTAACTGAGGTTGTGTCTGTGTGTCTGTGTACATATGCCTGTGGGCATGTAACAAAAAGCAGGCTCCAGAACTGAGAAAATGGCTTTACCATTTCAAGTGAAACTCTGCATTCCTATTCTGTTTTAAGATTAATAGGTGGTCAGAAATGAGCTTTGTTCTTAAACGGCACTTGTGAGTTTTCTTCCCTTTTGCTTTGGAACAAAACGAATACGAAATGACCCTTGGTTAAATAGCCTTAATAAGTGTTTTAGCTCTCTTTGCAGATACTTCTGAACACATTGCTGTTTCTGAAGTACCCCAGCAGAGCATTGCCATGAACTGGTGTCTTTGTAATTCACAGCCACGTTAGGTTAAAAACAAAAACTTGCAATCATCTCTCTGGGTTTCATGAGTAATTGCTTAACTTAACCTGGTTTTGTGGCTGGGTATCAGCTTAGACACATTTCTGACTATCAGAGCGGGGCAGAAGTGGAAGGAGCTCCCAGGTCGCCTACCAGCCAGCATCATCCCTGGCAAGCAACAGGTTCACGTTACATCGATACACCAAACCTTGAGACCTAGGATACCCATGGAGCAGAACTAGGGTAGCTCTAAGTGGAAGAGTTCTTCCAGGTAACCCACAGCTCTCCAAGGAGCACACATTGTTCCCAAAGAGATACAGGTGTTGTTTTAATACCATACTTTATCCTAACCAGAAACCTAATCTTAATAAAGTACTCGCAGAAAGCAAACAGGTGATCTTTAACTACTTCAAACAATTTAATCAAACTTTCGGTATCAGCTTAGACACATTTCTGACTATCAGAGCGGGGCAGAAGTGGAAGGAGCTCCCAGGTCGCCTACCAGCCAGCGTCATCCCTGGCAAGCAACAGGTTCACGTTACATCGATACACCAAACCTTGAGACCTAGGATACCCATGGAGCAGAACTAGGGTAGCTCTAAGTGGAAGAGTTCTTCCAGGTAACCCACAGCTCTCCAAGGAGCACACATTGTTCCCAAAGAGATACAGGTGTTGTTTTAATACCATACTTTATCCTAACCAGAAACCTAATCTTAATAAAGTACTCGCAGAAAGCAAACAGGTGATCCTTTAACTACTCAAACAATTTAATCAAACTCTCCAGCTTTCCCTGCAATAAATATGTGTCAGGGAAGAAGAAAATGAGCCTCCCCGCTCCCTCTCCGCATTCATGACAGATTAGACATGCAACATTAGCAGTGTTCGCAGAATTACAATGAGTGTTTACCAAGTAAATCCTGTCCAGATAAGCAAAGAAAGACCAAATGCACGAATGACATCCCAGCGTCGCTTCAAGCTCATTGACTCCCCAACAATGACTCTGTATTTAATTGTACTGGGTGTTTCTTAGGCAACAGCAGGCATTCTTCAGACTCCAAAATGAGACTTGGGAGACAAAGATTTTCACAGAAACAGACTTCTTTATGAATCTTCTTTAGTTAAACAAGTATGCTGGATAAAAAACAAGGTTGTATTTCTTGATTTAACTATTGCCTACCCTAAAGCAAGCCAAGCTCTCTACAAAAGGGAACGTACCGAATGCTGAAAAGGATCTTCCAAAGGGAAGAGCTCTCTTTAAAATGAACGAACAGTCGTGATGGGGTAAAGTGACAACTGACCCTGAACCCCTGCCATGAAAGTCAAACTAAAGTGACTCTGAGATTAAAAATCTGCTTTTGATATATGTCGATACCTGCTAAGCTGAAGAAAAGGTGGTCACAGGAGCAAGAGTATTTCCTTTTAATCATCGCACACCTCTGGGAAGCCTTCCCCCGGGGCATGCTTCGGGGGGGATAAAGAGCTCAGTTTGTGATCAAAGAGGTTTAGAGGAAAATCCAAAGCTAGCCCTTTGAGGTTCATCTCCTGCTCATTCGCATTCACTCTGCACCACTCTTATCACGGTTCTCCTTCCCTGATTGCTGAGGACAGGAGAACAATGATACAGGGAAAAAGAGATAAGTCTGAGGAAGGAGTGGGCACACCAAATACCCCCATTGTTCTTATGCACAAAGCTGCAATTCTCCAAAGGCAGGTGGGGGAGGCAGAGGCTTTGCATAAACACTGTGCTCTCTGGTGCCTTTGGTTGCAACCACAGGAGCGGGAAAGGCAACAATTTAAAAGCAAATTAACCTCAAGTTTGTCAGTCTTCCTCACACAGGCTCTCTTCAGCAGCTGGTCGAGCGATACTCTCTGCCCGCTGTCATTTGCTATCGGACTTCAGCCCTCCGGGCTCTACCGCAGTGGTTTATTACTGACAAGCTGACATGTCAACCAATATTCATGTATGCGTGCAGGAAAACACCTGGTGCTTCTGGGCTCTCCTGGGGCCAGGGAGGTGAAAAAGGAAAGAGGAAAAAAAAAAAAAATGCTTGAGCTCAAACATA